AAAGAAAGGGTTTTGAAAAAGATGATGGCAACCTATGTCCACATGTGCTTGACACAATGGAAGGATGGATGGATTGTGATAAGAGCTCTAAGAGCCCCCAATAAAATGATTTTAAAAAGAGAGAGAGAGATTGACAGCCATGGAAACCCGGGGCTGCTCTCCTCTGTCCTGTAGGGTCACTATGGGTTGGCATTAGCACGGTGGCAGTGGGCCTCCTTGTCCCTTCTAGGAATGCAGATCTCAAACGTTGTCCCTGGGGCAGATGACCAGGCCTTTCTCCCAAAGTGCCTTTGGGTGATCTTGAGCATCCAGTCTCTCCACGTTGGGCCTCAAGCCTCCTGGTTTCAAACTGCCAACCATGCCCATCGAGACCCAACGTGTAACCACTAAACCACCAGGGCCCCATGCTGGTGGTTTAGCACAGAACTTAGCACAGCATTACCAGGACCCCTATGGGATATGGGTGCCCTAGCCGGTCACACTTCGCCTCGGGCTCATCCAGGGGTGCTGACCAGATCCCCTGGCACCTAGTGATCTTTACCCATCATCCACTGGTATCAAAGAAGCTCTTCCACTCAGCGCCCAGGCAGGTCTCCATTCTGCATGCCCAGCCTGCACGTGACCTTCTGTGCTCTGAGCCTCTGGCCTCCCGTGGGTGAGGGCAGGGCTACCAGGATCATCACAGAGCCTGGTGGAAGTCACATCAGAAAGACATCGGCTGTCTTCTGGTCACGTCTGCCCTCCCTTTCCCTGCTGGTGGGCAAGGTCCCCTTGGCGCATCGCAGCCTTTCCGCATCCCCTTGCTTACCAAACTCATTCTTGCCAGAAGGACTTGGCACCTGCTGTTCCTTCTGCCTGGAGCACGCTTCCCCAGACATGCAGGCAGCTCATTCTTCATTACCCAGCTGTCAGCAAAAGGGCCACCTCTGGGGGGAGGGTGAGCCCCCCCGGTCATTTCTCACATTCCCATCTGCCGTATTTTGTGGGCTGCGTGGCTGGTGGGCTGCACTGTTTTTAACAGCATGACCAAGGCACTGCTGACATTGAGAGTCCCTAGAAGGTTCAGACGCCAGCACATTCGTTGGCTCATCGAGAGACTGGAGGCTCAAGGCCACCCAAAGGCACTTGGGAAGAAAGGCCTGGCCATCTACTCCAGGGAAAACCAGCCACTGAAATCCTATGAAGCACAGAGTCACTCCAACACACGTGGAGGCACCATGAGCCATGATCAGCTTGACACAAGGGTACCGGGGAGTGGACACTCAAGCCAAGGTGGCATGGTGGGTTCTACACTGGGCTGCAAGGCCAGCAGAACTGGCTCCAGGACGGTGGGAGCTGGCACTGCGGGGCGGGGGGGTGGGGCTACAAGAAGCAGGCTCCCACTCAGAACCAGGGCCAGGACTCAGGCTGGGCCAGAGGACAGCCTACAGAGAGGCCCCCATCCCAGACAGGCCCTAGATCGAGACAGACTGGCCTGTGCACAGGCAGCTGGCTGGATTTGACCTACACCAGGTTCCTAGGAGTAAGGAGTGAAGTGCATCACCCCTTACAACCTTATGTCAAGGAAACACACAGAGGTCTTGGTCCAGGAGGGCTGGGAGCTGGCCAATCAGAACTAGAGAGGGTCTCCAGCAGCCTGGTAGAGGAGGGGTCCTGGAAATGAGCATGTTCTGGAGAAGAGAAGTGGGGAAAGAGAGAGCAGAGATGCAGAAGAGAGAGCAGAGATGAAGGGTGGAAGGAGAGGAGCAGGGAGACAGCAGAGGTGGAAGGGAGAAGAGATGGGGGAACAGAGATGGAGGGGAGGAGAGAAGATATGGGGGAGCAGAGATGGGGAAACAGAGATTGGGGAGCAGAGAAGATATGGGGGAGCAGAGATGGGGAAACAGAGATTGGGGAGCAGAGATGGAGGGGGAGAGCAGAGATGGAGGAGAGGAGAGAAGATATGGGAGAGCAGAGATAGGGAAACACAGATTAGGGAGCAGAGATGAAGGGGGGAGAGCAGAGATTGGGGAGCTGAGATGGAGAGGGGTGAGCAGAGCTGGGGGAACAGAGATTGGGGAGCAGAGATGGAGGGGGGAGAGCAGAGATGGAGGAGAGCAGATACAGGGGAGCAGAGATGGAGGGGGAGGAGAGACGATATGGGGGAGTAGAGATGGAGGGGAGCAAAGATGGGGGAACAGAGATGGGGGAGCAGAGATGGAGGGGAGAAGAACAGATATGGGGAGAGAAGAGAGAGGAGCAGAAATGGGGGAGCAGAGATGGAGGGGTGAGAGCAGAGCTGGGGGAACAGAGATTGGGGAGCAGGGATGAAGGGGAGGAGAGCAGATACGGGGGGGCCGGGGGCAGACGTGAGGGAGCAGAGATGGGGGAGGAGAACAGAGGTGCAGGAGGCCCTGCAGGGAGTGCAGAGAGGTGGAAGGCAGGACGAGGGAGAGCCCGAGACCCTGGGGTACAGGAGGGAAAGCAATAAGGAGGCGATAAGAAGAAGGGGGAGGAGAGAAAAGATGGTGGGACCACTAGTCACTGAGAAGAGTGAGGGGTTCTCCTGCAGGGGGAGCGGGGAGTGTCAGAGTGCTGGGAGCGGGGGCAAGCAGAACTGGAGGGACGCAGCTGGCTCACCTGCCACCCACAGGCCCTCCCACAGCACGCCACCCTCCATGGGAAACAGAACCCCAGCAAAATGCAAACATACTTTAAATAAAAAGTCTCTGGAGCATCAAAATATTGAAGGTCTTCCTGTCACACTGTGGGTTCGTTGCTATGGAGAAGCACAGCCTTACCGTCACTCCAATCAGATGCCAATGGGAGGAGAGAGCTGGGCCTGACGGGGCTGGTTCAGGGCTGGCATGGGTGGTGGTGGGGGCTGCTCTCTGCCCAGAGCCCAGAAAGGTCAGGAGGCTTGATGGGGCAGCTTCCCACCTGCCAGCCAGACATCCCTGGAAACGGTCCCCACAGACAGAGCCCCCTTGGAAGGTACGGAGCTGATTGGGGAACTGAGTCCCAGAGAAGGCGGAAGACCTGCTTCAGGTCGCACAGCACGTTGCCTTGATGCTGGCTGAAGTCATGTCCCTGGCGTTCTGCCTGGTTGAGATGTACCCCCTGCAACACGCAGCCTGGTTCTCTTTCCAGACCCAGCTGGGCAGGCGTTTCAAAGCTGGCCCCATCTCAGGAGCGAACCGACACCTTCACAATGTGCATCATGAATTCCCAGAGTGGAGCCAAGTAGACTGGGCAGTGGGGGCTGGGGGTGCAGATAGGGACGATCATTATTAGTGCTTCTCACCCACTCCCACACAGCCCAACTGAGCCCGGGACTGGACACCTAGCCGGGAGGCCCC